GATTTGCTGGGAGTTTGTTTAAATACACTACCCTGAGCTGTAAATCCCATTTTGCATGCTCTTGCCTGTTGTACGCTGCTGGTAGGAAGTGAGGAGGCTGGCGGTTATGGATGAGACCATCCTCAGTGATGCTCAGCAGATGGGCCATCTGCCCTCGCAGCCAACACTGACCCACGCATTAGCAGCACGAGTGACCATATGGCTGAGAGAAGCAGACACCGTGAGCACTGGATGTGCATCTCTTACAATCGCTGGGGAAAATATAAGAAATGTTCAGGGAACAACAAAAAGGCAACTAAAACACAGAGGCAGTAATTCAGCTTGCTAACTTAATACTTTACAACATCTTACTCTGCTTACGTTAAGCAGAGTTAATAATCAGTTGAAACATGGGTGCAGGTTTAAATTGGCTGAAAATGTGAAATAATATTTGCTTGAGCACCCTAACAATGTGCAGTGAATGTCACCTGGAGGTGTGCTTCATGGTGTGCCCAGTGTCACAGCGAGTAACCTCGGCAGCTGTCTTGCTGAAAAGGCCAAAGACACAGTGAATTTGGGGACTAAAATAGTCCTTCCTAGCCTGGAGGCGTTCTGCTTGGGGCCGAATTGCCAGGAATTAGAAGAACGAACCTGAATCGGTGGCTTCAGTCCCCAGCACCCATCAGCTGAATGCCTTTCATGAGCCTGGACTCGTACTGGTGCTCGTCCCAGCCTGGTGCCATGCAGTGGCATTGCCCATTGCCCACTTCGGGCACCCTGGGCACTGCAGGGAGGGCAAGAGATGCTGGAGGTGTTTCTAAAGTGGATCACCCCTCTCTCCCGATGGAGAGCCCGCGGGTACGAGCCTGAGGCTCTCTATCGTCTGCAAAACTTGAACATGTCTGGAACCCAGCTGCCCTCTGTGAGATGTAGGTGGACCAATAAATCAGTCTCCTGGGACCCTTATCATACGCTATGAGAAACCATGGCTTCAGAGAGCCCTCACACAAACACTGTGGGCGTTGGGGGCTGGATCTCACCCTCACCTGGGAAACCACAAGCTTTGTCACTCGTACATGTGAATGCAAATTCTCTACTGTCTTCCCACTTATCATCCATGCTGAGAAGAAAAAGGTGGGATTTCATTTTCACGTTAGGAAAAATGGGCTAGGCTTGGCTTCCTCTTTATTTTCCCCTTCCTCTCCCACTAGATCCACGTGCATGAGTGAATTTATTGCATATTCAACCCCTCTTCTTATAAATGCAGGTAACCCATTGATATCTACTGCATGGGAGGGAGGAGGTCATAGAAAACAGGAAGATTAAGAAATCATGAGCAGAATTAAATATTGAGGGGGGTTATTTAACCATTTCAAATAGAAAAAAAAAAAGCGGCCATTTAGTTCAAATAGGTTCCACAGAATGGTGAATGTTTTATGGCAGGGAAGATGACAGGGCAGGTCCCTGATGAGGAAGAGGGGACACCCTCTTTTTTTTCTTTTCCTTTTTTTTTTTCTTTTTTTTTCCCTTTTTTTTTTTTCTTTTTTCCTGGTGAGAAAGAGGAAACTGCTAGTTGCAATGAAGTTATGGTGATTTACAGTAGCTAAAGATCAGGCTAATAATAGTTATGGATCTTTCAATACTTACACAAATTACAGCTGCAACCACAGCTTGAAAAAAGTGCACCTTATTTATTAAGACATCATTTTTTGCTAATAACCTGACTGTGTGAGCCAGATGAGTGGATGAAGACCACTCTTGCAATTTCCCTAGTTTAATTCTCTACTGAGCGAAAATAAATCTCTGCAAAAATTCAGAGGCTTCTACAGGAGCATAATCCTGCCTAAAGCTAAAAAAAAAAAAAGAAAAAAAAAAAAGAGTGCTGTGGGCAAAGCTAGTTTGACTATAAAAACTTCATTGTACTTTTTGCCCACAGTGCTCACCTGTGGGCACAGCAGCTCCTGTGAGCAACCAGGGCTCGCAGTCAACTTCCACGTTCTCCCTTTATGTGAAAGCCTGATGTGATGTTGCCTGTCCTGTGGTGCAAGGGCGAGCCCGATCCTCACCTGCTGCAACCTGCCCCGCTCGCCTGCTGCTACGGCCCGGGAGCCCCAGCTTCCCGCAGTCCCTGCCTTGCCTTTCCCTGGCCGTTTGCTCACCCTACCAGCTGCCAAGACAGCAATAATTACCAGGCAGCAGGACTGACTGCATTTAAGGCCACATTCAAATGGCTTTTGTGGCATGAGTATCAGTTACTAGCTCCAAGAATCTCAGTAATCAGCAGTCTTTTACTGCCCACTTCATTTGTTACTAAAGTCTTAATTTTTACTTTGATTTCGGCATTAAGAATTAAGAGCACTTTTTTGCAGGACATTCCAGTGAATATATCTATGGTGTATTTTGTTCCTGACCATGCTGATTTGGAAAATTCTAGGGTTTTTTCCCCCTTAAAATAGTCAAATACACCAACTGAAGGAAAATTACCCAACTTTATCCATTTATGTTGATAAACCTTGTGAACATATGCTACGCAAAAGAACTATTCATGAGTATAAAAGCATTTCAGTTCATAAATATTTATAGGACTGGAATCTGAAACACTGTCCCTGGGGCCCTGGGCCTCCCTGAAGCCTTTCAGCATCTTTACGGGATTGAGGTGAGCCTGGAGCCGGCACTGCTGTCAGGGCGTGTTGGGGATTTCAGGCATCGCCTCTCTAACACGAGCTGCCTGCGCCAAGCCCTGACCTAGATTGGAGTGCGGAGCCTCCACCCTTCACCTCCCATCACTGGAGCTCTGCTGAGATTGTGACTAACGAGGGTAACAACCAGCACGTCTGATTTTTAACCATTTCTGTTCACTTTTCTTCACAATTTTATGCCATAAACAGACCCACATGTTAGGGAAAAGCTGCATTTCTGGCATCAGCAGCACACTCATGAAGTGTAAGTGCAGAATGCCAGGGGCTCTCGCAGCACAACTAGGCTTACCCATCTTTCTTTAATGGAGATAGGAGGAAATCCGACACAGATACGCTATAAACTACTTCTGCTACAGGACAAAATAGTGTTGATCCTTTGATGCTTAATAGCAGTTTTTATTATTAAAATATTATTAGCTTTTAGTTTTTAAAAGCTGTTTCCTTCCATTACAAATGATTTATTTGTGATAAAATCTTTTGGAATTAAACTGGATACTATTCACTTTACACACACACATATACACATATATGTATATGTGCATAGAAGAAGTCTATAGCATTTTCTTTTCATGTTGGATTTTGAAGCAGTGTCTAACAGAGAATGAGAAGAAGATTTATAATTAAAACTATTTGATGACTGCTATACCATCCAAAAAGCAGCACGTGACAGCATGGCCTTGGTTCTTGCACTCCCACTAGAACAGGTTAAATTTATCTGTTTTAATTGTGCATTGTTTTTTAGAATAACGGCTGATTCTGCACTGAAAACTATTTGTTTTGCCCTTTAGAAACCTGGGTTACATTAATTGCTGGTATCATCCCCTAATTATTGGGGGTATTTCATTTGGGTAAACGGTGCTTATGAGTGAATTCGTAATACATTTACATATACTTTTCATGTAATTGGTAAATGGTATTAGAATGCTTTTTAAAAAAACAAATCTATTAGAAGACAATCATTATGGCATTGGAAAATATGGTACGATAGCTATAAAATATATTTACATGTTGTGTTATATATAAAATATTAGATAATATCACTATTTGTTACATACCCAGAAAACATAAATAGCATCAATTTGTTTTCCAACTAAAGAACAGAATGTAAAATGTCTTCTATATTTGAAATAATGTGGATTTTAAAAACTTTATTAGCACTTAACCCTTACAGAAATCTCTATTTGTAATGTATAAGCAGTAAGTTTATGGTTGGAGTCCCTTATGTAGCATACGCATCCATCTGCTGCCGTGGCTGGAAGGGCTGAAGAGGCCCATGAGGAAATAAAGCCTTTAGCTGGGAGTGTCTCTACGGGCAGCTGGGGATCAGGAATTTCATATTTGGGGGACTCCTGTGAAAACTGCAGACAAAGAAGCCAACTGGCTCCACTCAGCCTAGTCAAATAGTAATGGATTTTTTGTAGTTTCAAAATTAATCTGTAGAAAATGGAGCCTTTTGATGGCAGCAACAGGCAATGCCAGAGCTAAGTACACCTGCCCTGGCAGTTGGGGGAGGCAGGTTGGCACCTGCCACTGCCCAGGCCTGGGGCTAGGCTCCAGCATCCGTCCCTGTCCAGACCCCTTCACAAGCAGGTATTGCAACGGTCCCTTCCGCTGCATTAGGAGAACGTGTGCTCCGCTGCTAAATTCATGGCCACGTCTTCCGTACCATTTGAAAATCATAATTACACAACATAGCAGGGAATAAAAGCATCCCCCTGGTTCACCTATTCTATACTACATCGGCTCTGAAGGGAACAGAAACAAATAATTGAAAGAGCTCTGAAAGATAGATAAATAATAAAAACATGACAATCTGTCAAGAAGCTGGTTGCTCACAAGCATTATTTCTTATTACAGATCACCAGGTCACAGATACGAGATCAGCTGCAGCATTAATACATGACATTTAAAAAGGAAGGGTTTCAAAGTGGTGGGGAACCTAGTCAAGCCGTAAATGCGGAGCTAATGCAGAAAATGCAGACTGACACCCTGACTGTAACTCAGGCTGCTCCTGGGGGAAAGGCAGCCCAAGGGCGAGAGTTCAGGACAAGACGTCAGCCCCAATCTCAGCCCTGATGAGGAACTCCTGGGTCCTCTGGGTTGAAGGCAGCTTCTTAATCTTACTGAAACATAGCTCTCTTTCCTAGATGACCTTTTCACAGTGGTTTTTAGGAAACATAGCTACAATTAACACTCTCAGAAATCTGCTAAATTATAAATTTACAGCCTTAGGATTCTACAGTCACTTTCTCGGTACAATTAGCGTAGGTTGAAAAGGTTGCTTTGATTTGACGATGTGTGAATATTTTACAGTCCTCTTACCTTCATGACCATCACAACATTGCTAACGCATGCTGGTATCTCCTTGACAGCCATTCTGACACTCATTTCATCAATTTGTTGTATCCCTAGGGTGTGTTCTTGTTTATAACAGGAAGGAAATGGGCCATTGGGGAAATCTGTCTAGAAAAAGCCATAGACAGAACAAAATTTCCTGCATCTGCCTCTACAGATTTGCGTAAGGCCGTTACAGGTCTTAGTTTCTTGGACATATTCTCCTTTCCTGGGGGAGGTTTATCTGGGATTTCTAATGACCCAGAAGTGCAGAAACATCCACTTTGCGTATCAACCCCACTGCATTCATGCGCTGAAGACCATCTGCATGCATGGAGCAAATGTGGTGGGCTTGGGATGTGCAGGACTGGAGGCACACATGTAGGTGGATTAGGGGCTGACCTCGCAAGCTGGATACAACACACATTTGAGGGAAGCCCTCACATTTGTGCCACTGTGGAGCAGATGAGAGGTGTAAGGAGACATCCTGCTCCCTGGATTCAGCACAAAAATTTGGTTTCATTTTAGTGGAGTACAGTAACACCCAAACCCTATAAGCAGCAGAGTTTTACGGAGGAAACAGAGCACCATCCCATCTGCACATAGCCACCCTTACATTAACCTCTCCAGCACAGTCAGTCTGGAGCCGTCCCATGTCTGATCCACCCCCTGGCCAGGCTGTCCCCTCTCTGCTGTCAGGCCAGCACCCCCGAAACCCCAAATCTGCATGCAGCGGGATTAGCTGGGCAGGCAGACACACAATGTTTCTGTGTCCTTACAAAACTAGACTAAAACCAGAAAACTAGAAGTTTAAGACTCAATAACACAGCATCCTAATAGCTAATAATGCTAAATAGTAAGTCAATATTAATTTTTCTCATGTAATTATCTAACAAAAAATCTTCAGAATTTTGACTCTTCCCAATACATCTCGAAACAAAATCTTCACAATACATTTTTATGCTTCTATATATGCATATTATAATAGCATTGGAAGGGATACATAATGTCCATGATATGATACTACCAAACAGTTGTACCACTTTTTCAGGCCTATTATGTGAAATCTTTATGAATGAAGAGCATGAATTCACAAAAAGTTGTGCCTAACAGCACTGTGAACTAGTCATAAAAAATTAAGTTTAATCTAGCTAATTTGCATTTATGCTTAAAATTTGATTATCCAGATAATATTTAAGTGTTTTGTTGTGTGCCTTGGCTCTCTATCAGAAGTGAAAGGATGAGGTCCCTGACAGGAACCAAGAAAAGGTTCCTGCTAATTTATGCTAGAGAATGCTTAAAAATATATCTTTTTTCTTCCTTTGCTATTACGTATCAGTGTAACAACTTCTCCAAAAGTTTTGACTGCTGCAAGCCTTGCAAATTAATGCTATGCATATATAAATGTATTTATATATATATGCAGATGTGTGTACACAAACATATTAAGTTACAAATATAATGCATTTTCTAAAAAAAAAGTTCACTTTGTAATAGATTTTCCAGCTAATTAATTCTTCAGGCTAATACTGAATTTGGTACATTATAAAAATCTGTGACCTTGTTATTTACAAGAACTCAGCACGAACAAAATTAAGGGGAAGAACACTTCAGACTTAATGACAACTGAATCTGCTATGCCTGGGAGTACTTTGGAAAATGAATGATTAAATAAACGATTATCTTTAAAAGCAGCTCCGTGGACCAGGTTTTTACAATGCAAATCTCAGTTCTGTACTGAATGTGTATTTCAATGATAATTACTCATTTGTTGTTTTTCCCTAACAAAACCCTACATTGCTGATATGATACAGATGTGAAACAAATAGTCACTGTGGAGCGTGTCTAGTCCACGAGGCACACCAGGAAATGGTCAGTTTACGCAGAAATGCCTCTGTGGCGATTTATTCCAAACTCCGGGCTCTGCATGTCTGCAATTTTCTTTCTGAGAGAAAGATATGGGATACAAGCTCCCAAGGTTTTGAGGGAGAAGCAGACACGACACAGAATTGCTGCTGCTGTGCACAAATTTACAGGATGTTTACACTCTGAGAAAGCTCTTCGCTACTTCTCCCAGATATAAGAACACCTTTATTAATTATGCTGTATATCAGATACCCCTACAACAAAACAGGAATGTAGGCTTCTTGATTGTAGAGAGGATAACGTAAAGAATTGTCCCAGCTACTGCCGTTTCTTAACCTGTCCAGGAAGCACAACGGAAAGTTACTGCCATAACACAGATGCTCTGCTTGGAAGGAAAATCTCAGCAGGTCTGCTTCAAATTGTTTTCCTGTGGGAGTTAGTAAAACAGTAAATAGCAGCCTCTTTATAAACTGAGACCTCTCCATGATCAGAGTTTTCCCAGATGTGCCTCAAATCTGCACTGTGCTGAAGCTATCCTTAAGCACCAACGATGTCGTTATTCCTGCCTGAGGACCTCCATCTCATCTCATCTGTAAATTCAGACTGACATTGTCATTTCTCTGCATTTCAGTTTGTAACAACCCCTGAAACATTAAAGCAGAAATACTGTGCAGCGAGACACCCTATGCTTTTATATAAATTGATGATTATTAATGTGCCGGAAATCACTTTATTATTATTGAGCCAAATTCTGCCCTTTGCTGATATCAAGAAAGTTTCACAAGAATTACAGTGCAGTAAAAATGAGCAGCCTTTGAGTCATTTCCTTTATATCTTCCCCCGAATGCCGTTTGCTCAATTGGAGGCTTCTTGAAGGCTTAAATTTCCCCTACACAGTTCACTTTAAACAAACATGTTTTGGGTCATCCTGCACAGCAAAGACTTGCCAATTAATATTCTAATAATGTAGCTCATTAACCTTATCTCCGTACCCCCATGAAGAAAGCCATTTACAACCCCTTTCAAAATGCATGAAAATATATATATACAGAAGGCAGCTGATAGAACATTACAGGAAAATTTAAGCTCCAGTAGCTCATCATCTCCTCTGTGGATCATTTCTGGAAAAATGTGCTGCTGACCTTAAAAAACACCCAACGTCTTCTGACAACTAGAGCACACCAATAAAAAAGCAATTTGATTATGGGATCAATGCATAAAGTAATTTAAAGAAAAGTAATTATGTACAAACCAAACAGGTTCACGTGGACAGATCCAGCACTGGTGGAGAAGAAGGTGACCCCAGCGGGAGCTCTGTAGGCGTTCGCTGGGAGAAATGCCACTCACCCTACCGCAGTGCACGCTCGCACGTACTACCCACAGTTAAATAAAGAGATCAGATTCTGAAGATTTGAAATTGGTGTTTCTAATTGCTGCCTAATGTAGGAAATATGTTGTATATTCTTTCTTAAAAATCTTAAAACCACTTCTAAAAAGAATTTATGCTGATGTAAGAAACACAAGGGCTAGAGGATCTGAAAATAGATGGGTTACTGTCTGAGGTCGTTGTCCATGATGAGCCTAAAGCCCATTCACTGCTGGTCAACATCACTGACGATTTTTGGGGGAGAGGCATCTCTCCATGCTTCTGAAGCATGCGCTGTTCCACATGCGCCAATTAAACATGGCAACCCTCTTTTAGACTGAGGTCTTCTCTCTATCCTTCTATCATTGAAAAAATGTAAATAATCTTCTTTTAATGTTAGTATTTTCAATGTTTTAATTAAGAGTAAAATAATTAAGATTGTAATTACAGTAATACCTTCTATTACCAACAGGAAACCTTACAGTCATGAATCAAACTGGATCACTGCCCAGATGTGATCCTTCTTCATGGAGGGAATACTTCTTTGTAAGGGTGAGCTGTTTGGGTCCTTGGGGTTCCCCCTCCTGCTGCACCAGTGGCCCCAGAAGCCTTTGGGACCACGGGGGTTCCCCGTGGGAATGGCATGGTCAGTAGCCACCTCCTGCAGAGTGATGAATGGGGCCACAGACCAGAGGGGTGTACATACTTTGTGAGGGCGAGGGGAGCAGGACAAGAAGCTTGTAGACAGCAAAAAAAGGGGACAGGGAAAATTACCTTCTGAAACCCAATAGCATCATGTCCTGAGCAATTCCAACCCGAGGGACGGGTTTCCTTATGATACGCAGGGTCTTAGGGGTTTGCACCTGAAACCAGAAAGCCTCTTGGCCAGACATATAAAATATGAGTCTAATGCTGGGATGTAACTCCCAGCGTTCATTTTGGATTTGATTGAATATATGCTTAGACACATGCCGCTGAATTCCTAAAGCATATACATTCAAGTACAAGCTTGTGCATCAAGTACAGATTTCCCTTACGGAAACCTGGGCTTCAGCATGTTTCAGATATTATTTCTTTTGAATAAACAAATATTAGAGTTATAATAAATGTGTTTTTTTTAATTAAACTAAGATAATTGGGAAAAAAAATTGGGATGCTCAAGCCCTTCTATCAAGAAAAGTTTCTCTTAGCTTAACTGACAACTTATGTATTTGGAAATATGAGAGTGCTACCTATCCCTGGGAGTCTCTAATCTCCAGTATGACTTAAACGTACACTGAAAAATGACTAAGATAACTGCCTAAAGCAACTTCCTAAAACTGCTTAAAACAACAAAACATCTGATAAGGCAGCAGTTTATTACCCTACAGTACACACTATTTCCAGTTTCCTTTTGCCTGCAGCACCCTCCAGTGGCTGATCCAGCTGATGGGTTACTCTACAATTTGGTACCCCTCGGCTCCCCCCGCCGCCTCACCGCCCGCTCCGGCTACAGTTAAGTGCAACCCAACAGGAGCGCTTAATCTTGTAATGAAATTTAAATTTGGTGCATAATTAATGCATACATTTGGTGCATAAATAATACTTTTATAAAATACTTGAAACTGCAACTTTCCCTGTGCTTACAACACATGTATGTATTTATACACCCCCCCCCATATCAAAATGTTATCAAAAGTATGCTGAGAAGTTAAGCAGTCATAAACTAAGAAAAGCCAGAAAAAGGCACTCGTTGGACTTTGACTGGCCTCCTGTGCTGGTGTCACCTCTGATGCCACTGTCCTGTGTTGCCCCCAGCACCTTATGTCGCTTGCAGCCTGTGATCCCTATTCAATACTTCTCCCTTCCTTTCCCATTTCTCCAGAGCATGTTCCAGCATATCCCGGGCTGCACCGAGCACCCTGTTGGGAAAGGCTGGGGCGCAGCCCCCCACAGCCTCCTCCACACCAGCTCCCACCCACCGCTTCAGCCGTTCGCCATAACCTGGAGATTGTGCCGTGGTGTGATTCCCGCTGCATGTGAGCACTGCTGAAACACGGGCGTGTAGGTGTGTTAAGGGTATAATAATGGTATTATCCTGAAAGCCTCTAATAATAAGCACACATTAAGATATATCAACTCAGAGTCTATAGGTTTGCCAACCCCACGTGCGAGCACTTAATTTTTGCTTTAGTAAGTGTCTGAAATGCCTCCATGTAGCAAGGCAGAGAGCAGTCTGAGACCTGGAGGTTAACCACCCTCCTGCCAGTGCTCCCAGAAAGGCTCACGCTACGTCTCACATGAAAGAAAGACTTGGGTAAGTCTTTCTTCTTGGTTTCAGTTTGCCATCTTTGTAAATCTGTTCTTGTTTTTAAAAAGCCCTCCCATTGTCATATACCCATCTCAACCATTTCCTGATTTAAATTATTTCCCTCCTTTGACTGCATTAAGGTTTCTTTTTTGGGTTACTAAATGCATAGATCTCATTGATCTTACTGCCCAGGAAATGCTAGCCCCTTGGAGACTGGCGTGACACTGACAGACATGAAGAATTTTGACCCCTCTCTAAAAACTAGCAGGGCTGAGATGTGCAACTGCAAGTTTTGAAGAAGAGTGGGCATCGTCGAATCTAACCCTGAGCACAGATTACCTCAGCGAGCACAGTGTAAGACAAATAATTTCCACGACTCCCTGTATGCATCCCTCTATATGTAGACATCCTATGTCTGATTGATTTTAAAAGCAGCAATCCTATCTAGAGCAGCAAATCAATAACCTGCTGCCAAACACCTTAAGATCTGACAGATGTTTGAACTCAGATTTGATAGACATTCTGCTTAGAAAAACTATTTGGGAAAAAAAGAAAAAGAAGAAAACAGATGGGATGAAGTACAGAGAGACAATTCCTTCTTTAAAGCAGAAACAAGTCTTGTGAGAAGTACTAGATGTAAGAAGTATAACATTAACAAGTACTGGGACAGCCCCAACAACACTGAAAAAAGAAACGGCCTCCAAGCACTATCATGAGCGCTCTGATTTGCCTGTTGGTTTGCCTGTTGACTGAGTTATCCTGAGCATTATCCACAGGAGTGATTGGAAAACAAGAGTTGTATTCCAGGTTGTTATTTTTTTGAGATTTGAGTATTTTCCCTCATTTGGGGAGAGAGAGAACGGAGTCCAGCGAGCACTAGTCTTTCTGGGCATGACAAACTCCCCCAGGCTGTGGCAGCAGCGATTTCTTGTCAACTGTCCAGCGGGGTTCCGGTCCCCTGTTTAATGTCCCTGTATTCTTAAATATTCTTGAAAAAAGACAGCTTCAGGCAGTGCTAGGGTGACCGCTGCTACTGTCCCCATCATATTTACCAGCCAAGTAACTCATTACCAGTGTAAATCAGAAAAAAAGTAAGTGAAATTGTGAATTAAAATACTTTTCTGAATACTATGTCTTTTCAATCCAAAATGAAAATTATTTTCATCTATTGCATTTAAAATACACATTTTTAAAGTAGCATGACTGCTTGCTGTTTATACAAGAAGTTTGACAGTGCATTTCATTACCTACCTAGTACTTTTTTGTTAAGAGTGACCACTGATCTAAAGAAATAAAGTTATAAGCATTTGTGATTACATCATACTGAAATTCAGTACCTAAATTACTAAAGTAAAATAGAGATAGAAATATAAATAATGTTTACATAAAGTCTTTGGTCATTTCAAAATTTTCTCTGCATTATCATCAGAAACATTTTAACTTGAGCAAGAGGGACTAACAGCCATGTAAAGGAAGTTACATAGTATATATAATTATATAATAAATTGGTTTCCAGTTAATCAGTCTTACCTGTCAGGAGCTCTGATTTTGCTTCCTGCCTCGTGCTTTCAAGGGACAGGCAGTTCGCACCCGCATCCTTGGGGACCTTCGTGACACTGCAGCTGTGGAAAGCTGCAGACAGGAGCTTGTTCTTGCTCTTCCTCGACAGCCCCAGGTTTGTGCGCTCGGCTGCAGTTCCCATTTAGCAACTCACACCGGTGGGATTTCTTCCGGATTTTCCCTCCTTCACTCGTTTTTCTAGATGATCCATTTTTCCTTCCTGGCTCCTGTGTTAGCCTCCTGGGCTCGGGCTCTGTGGTACTTGTGCTCCCTTGCCTCAAGGTGATAAAATCTTCTGTTCCTTTCTGCCGCCTCCCCCAGCCCAGAGCGTGCGGATCAGGGACAACGTGTTTTCCATTCACTCTTTTCCAGGCTGAACTTTTTGTTGGGACAATGTTAAGTCTTTTGTCATCATTTAGGGACAGCAATTTATAAATTATTGTGCCATTTTTCTCATCGTGCTGTGGGCCATGGTCTACTGAAAACTCCCCCCAAAATTACAACTTTCTTTCTTGAAGGGTTCAAACATAGGTTCATGTTTTTCCCTAAAACCAGGCTTGTGGGATAACTATTGGACATACCCTCTGTTATAAAGAAATACCTTGGAACAAACCACTTCATTTTCATTCACATTTATCTTTTTGTGAGTCACTCCTCTGGAACTCTTCCTAAAATCTTCTTTCAAGACAGATTTTTAAATAACTATGAATAACAAATATAAATGTGTGGCATATAAAACAGGACACGGTCACTTCTACAGAGAAGCAATTTACTACCTGCTTAGCAGGGAACCGAAATATATTCAGTTTATCTGAATTAGTATACTGCTCCTTACGTAAAGCTGAGAGCTATTTCAAGCAGCAGACCCAGGACTTCCACTGAAAGTTAGTTCAAGCAGCAGAGCCAAGACTCCGGGAAGGAGCCTGTGGCTGTAGGGGAGGGAGGGGGTTTTTGGCTTTCTTCTTTGTCAGCTTAGTTCTAGCTTTTCAAAATGCTCAGTCAGAGGTTTCAGTGGTGCAGACGCCACCTGTGCAGAAATTTCCACATACCCTAGTTCAGCTTCAGTCTGAAAGGGTCAGAAAGATCGCGTCTTCCACCGCCAGTAGCAAAATATGAGAGATATCTGGAGTTTTTGAAATGGCAATGTCTCTTTTTCTGTCTTGGTAATCAGTGCTGTCTTCTTGTTAATAACAGTAGAAGCAATTCTAGCTTCCTCAGTGGGCTGAAACAAGAAAAAGGTATAAAAACATGGATCAAAAAAAAGTATATCTGGGCAAAAATAACACGCATGAAATTTCTGTAAGGTTTATATTTATAACTATCTGTTTGAATTGTAAAACTGATAAAAAAGGATTTGTGTTGTATTCTATTGACTTTGATGACTAATAAGGAATGTTCCCCTCAGTGCCATGCATGATGTGGGCATTTCTACCATCTCTGGAAGCACAAACAGATTGGCTTTTTATCGCCTATTTACATGGGAAAAAAGGCAGGGTTGGGCAATATCTAGGGCCCTAAGGCACGATGCTGGGAAAAATGCACATTTATAAATGACATGTACCCCCCCCCACCATTCTGTTTTTTTAGTCTGAAGACAGGACAAGCATGTCAGACAGCCCAACCATGTGGCGAGGAGTAGTGGCTTTAGAGATTTCCATTTTGGGGTTATCTGGGCACCCAGGAGACCACCCCCAATACTGCTGAAGCCTGAGCAGCAAGGGGAAGGCTCTGATGCTTTACAAGAAGAAGAGGGGAGACCAGAGGTGATCCGAGGGCTTACCTTTTGTGTGTGGCCTGAAGGACTATGACCAAAGAATGAAAGCTAAAGAGAAAAATAAAAACAAAAATAAAAACTGAAAAGGGGAGGGAGGAGAGGAAAAAATGGAAGAGAAGAAAGAGAACAAGAGTTTACAGTGTGTTTAGCTGAGAAATAAGCTGTGGTTACAGACAGAGTGCAACAAAACTCTCAGTTGAAAGGAAATATAAAGTGTGAAGTAAGCTTTGAGGGCTCAGGGCTTGGCTCAGCTCAGCCAGAGCCCAGCAACCCTCGGACTGATGAGAGTCGTCTCCTGCCCCAGCGGAGCCCAGCCCAGTCGCAGCCAAGGGCTCAGGAAAAATGGGGAGGAAAAAAATTAGCTGAATTGTTCTGATACCTCAAAAAACCCCACAGTGCTAAGGTTTGGGTTTAGTTTCAGGTGAAAGTCCAGCTCAGTCCCTGTTGTACCTGAACAAGTTCTCCCATGGCAATTTCACTAGAAATAGATGGTTTCAGATGAGGGTAATTTTAGGGCAAAATTCAACAGTTATGGCTTGACCAGAGAAAGCTCGATGACATTAACCACGATGGCAGTGACTGCTGTGGCTGCAGGTGAGGACAGGAGAGAGAGCCTCCTCATTCCCTCTGGGGAAGGCAGGTCAGTGCAGCTGCACGTGCAAATGCTGGAGAGGGGAAGGAGAAAAGATCCCTGGCTCCTTCCCCAGAGCACGTGCGAGACCTCATCCCTCTGCCATCCAGCAGCTCTCCATCACTCCCTTCCCAGGGCAGATGGACCCCTCTATCCTTGCTAAGTCCTGTGTTTCAAACTTTTCTGAAGGATAACAGAAGGAAAGGTTCAATTTAAGCTGGCAACCTTTCCTTCTCAGAGGGACTAATGCAAATGCAAAATGGTTTCCTGGAGCACTTTCACATTAACTCACTGCACTAACAAACACAAACTTTTTATAAGAGTGTTTTCTTAGCCAAGGTGAAATGAATATGTGGTCATGTGCACATACAATAACTGTTTCATCTGCATTACCTTACCTTTTCCTCTAACTCTTTTATTTGTCTTTTTTGGCCTTCAATTCTTTCTTCTAGCTCTTTAATTCTCTGTCAGATGTCAAATAAAAAAATATTTATTAACCAACCAAATACAGATGTACCCAGAAGATGCATTATTTTTGGAGATATAAATTGTATGTGCTGTGCTTCTAAAAAAATAAATTGGGTGCTAAGCTGTAGATGAGTCCTCTGTGAATGTCACTATGTGTGACAAATTAATGAAAATCAAAATGCCCTGTTTGCAGGGATTATCCAAGGCAAATCAAAATCTGGCCGCAGGACCAGCCATTTCTGGTACAGCTCTATGAGGAGAGGCTGGTGCTCACAAGTTCATTACGTTTCCATCTGAGGGACCGTCCCACCCCAAATCTCGCCATGCCTGTGCACCGGCGCCTACCTGCTGTGCATGTTGAATGAGCTCCATCCTTTCTCGCAGGATTTGGGCATCCCTCTCCCGGAGCTCACTCATCACCTGCCGCTTCCATTGCTCTACGGCGCTCTTCAGTTTCTCTTTCTCCTCTTCTGAAAGAAGTTCGGAAATTTTGGCTCCAGCTTCTTGCTGCAGGGCATCATAGAGCATGGCTTCTAATTCCAGAATTTGCTAATCAAAAACAATATAAGGCTGTCAGCTTGACCTCGTCTCTGGTCAGATGAGGATTTTGTGAGGAACTGAAACTCCTACCCCGGTAAGGCAATGGGAGTGGTAGAGGGGTTGTGTGCTGAGCCTCCCACACAGGACAGTGCAGAAAACTCAATCCAGGGGGAAAATACTTTAGGCTGCTTTTATCCTGTGGGGCTCTGAGCAGCACTGGAACTGGGACGGCCCCTGGGCCCAACCTAGTCTGCCTCTCAAAAAATATACGGGTGTCAGCTTCTCCTTTCTGGAGATGGGGAGATGGCTGTGGGGAGAAAAGGCAAAAAGAAAAAAAAAGGGAAAAGGGAAAAGGGAAAAGGGAGAAAGGGGAAAAGGGAAAGGGGAAGAGGGTCATAAAAGACTCATTTTGTGAGTTACAGATATTTTTAAATGTAATGTTCAGTCTCTCAGTTCACGTTTCCCAGCTATTCTGTTCACAGCAGCAGAGGGCATGGCAGCACCAGTTCATACTCCTGCCAGAAAGGAATGACTCCCTGTTGTGTGCTTGCAGCATTTTGTACCAACTTGCTTGAAATGCCCCACCAAAAGGTGTTTCCAGCACTTTCTCTGGCAGAGCGGTCAGCTCCAAGAGGCTTTATGCTCAAGAAAAATGTATCTGGTAGCTGGGCTCTCTTCCTGCAGCCTCAGGCTGCAGAGCCTTTACTTCACTGCATCAGAAAATGTCTCTTGCACAAAGACAGATGTACCCTCCAGATTTATTGAGATATAGAAGTGTGTAGGAAACGGAGTGGCAATGTTTCCCCAGGGTCACTGAGCCTGGTACCCTCCTGACACCTGGTCACCTTCCTGGTGACCTTGCCAGACAATGTCTTCTGCTTCAAAGGCCAAGATGAATGCTATTCCTTCAGGCAAGCCAAAACCAAGACAAAATCTTTTTCAGCAAGTTTGACATAGAGAAAGAGACAAAGCAGCAAATGACGGCACCTTTGCACACCCTCTCCAAAGCTGGTGGCATCTTGCAGAGCTCTCCGTGGCTTCAGGAGAACACGACTGCAATAGTGTGGTTTGAACCTTGCAGAGGTCTCCATGGCTTCAGAACAGGAGTGCTGCCATAGTGCAGCTTGAACCTCTAGACAGGCTGTTTGAAAATGCTGTAGATGTCTGTTGTGATAATTCAGCTCAAAATCGACAAGTTTTTCCACCTGAGGCTGCTGGTGGTGTTTTCTTACTATGTCTTAGCAGAGTCAGGACAGAAGAATACAAGCATTTGCAAGAATAACAACATCATGGCAGGAGTTATGGATACTGATGGTAACTGAAAGACAGCAACCGTGGTACCTCTATGAGGAAGATTAGATTAGATCAGATCTCAGAAGCAGATTCTGGTTTCACTTTTAAAAATAATGCTAACATCCTTGCTAACTGTAACTGTCTCAACAAAATGCTGTTATTTGAGACATGGATTTCAGTTGGGTCCCAAACCTCAATTACACAACCGTTATCCCTCTCTGATTATATTGACTTCTAAAGAAAGAAGAGCGTGGGGAAATTCACGATCTCCAGAGCAGCAGCTGTGTCAGAAATCTCTGTGTGAGCCAAGTGCTTCTTGGAGCAAAATCCCCTGCCAGCAACCAAAGGGAGTGAAAACCATGCAAAAAGCTTAGCGGTTACAGCTGGTAATCTTGTTGGCTGCAGTCAGCGGGGGAAGATTAGCGGCTCCTCATCTCAAGGGGCACAAAGGAAACACGGAAGTGGAACAAATTGTAGAAATCAAAAGAGCTTTTGCCACTCAAATTTTGGGGCAGAACAAAGCTTTCTCGCTGCTTTCAGACTGCATTTGTGCCTGGGAGTAAAGCCCATCACTTTGCCTGGGGACACTCGCGTGATGCGTTCAAAGAATACAGGAAAATGCAAATAACCCTCAGCTACTTCTGCATGGGCTGCAACACATTTATTACGCTCGTTCCCTCTCCACCAGCAGCAGAGCCAAGGAGCAGGTAGTTGTTGGACTCTTTGGTAAATTTGGCATCCTGGAACTGGAAATCCATCTCATGGATGGAGAGCGAGTGGCTGGCCATGAGCCGCAGGGATGCCGAGTAACGCCCTAATCGACAGCCACAGCTTCATGTCTGAGCTCTCCTGCAGACTCCATGACGTCACTAGGAGTTTCAAGTGATGCCATACAATTTTTCCCACTCTGCTGCTGTTGCAAGTTTCTGCATACTCAGATTTATGGATCTGTTTCAGAACTCGCCCAAGACCCAGAGGATAACCTCTCCCAGGGCTTATCTTTGAAGATGAATCCTACAGGCTCAATCTTTGGCTGCACCAAACTGCTTCTCAGAACAGCTCAAGGCTGCAGGAGATAATCTGGCGTTAGGGCTGAGACCACAGGTAAAAGGGGCTTGTGTACATTCCAGGGTTTCCATTGTCCATAGACATTGGTTCCAGATATAGCTCAGCATTTGGCAAAATCAGTCTTAAAAATCATCCTTACAGGAACAGAAAGTGTAGTGAGTAAAAGCTTCCCCCAAATGGTTTGAGGTACAAATAGGTAATAGGTATCCAGAAAAAGAGGCATAAATACTCATTGCTGCTCAGGAAGTGTAACTGTGCTCAAGATTTAAATGGAACTGAAAGAATGAGATAAATCAATATGAAAATCTATGCATTTATGTCTTTCATGAGTATACATTGAACTTTTCTCTAACTGAAGGAAACAAGACAGCTGATGACTGAAGAGATGGTTGAAATGGGTTAGGACCAGCTAATGACGAACTTGACATAAAAGCAGTTTCATTTCCAATTTACAGAATCACATAATACCTCCAGCTGTTTTGGTTACAGAGGCTGTAATCTAAGATCTAAGGAAATGTCTAGGTCAAAATCTTTATTTTGAGAGGAAAAGAGAAATTACTGAAAACATCATTTTCTTATCAGTCATTTACCAAAACCTCTGCTAAATTACAATTTGTGTTTAATAAATCAGTATTGAGGTCCTAATCCTGCAAGAACCTTGCAAACACAAGGAACTTGGTTCATAAGGAACTCACTGTTAGCTCAGGGTATAGAGGGTTTGTTTAAGATTCAGCCTATTTAGTCCTTGGCTCTCTGCATTAGCAAAGAATTTTTCTATAGAGGGCAGACTACCCATATTACACGAGGTAAGTTAATCAAGATGGCATAACTCAGTCAAGACTGGTTTTCCTCACCTTGTGAGCTTGGTCCAAGGACTGTTTCCTGAAGTCGAGCTCATCATCCAGGTAGCCCTTTTGCTTGCTGAACAGCTCCTGCGGACACAAGGAAGAGGCAGTCAGTGCAACGGCTGTGGCCCTAACGCGACTGCTCTTCCTGCTGCCTCTCCCGCCGGTTTGTTCCCCTTGTCTCTCCGTACCTTTTCATTCTCAAGATCCAGCATCTTCTGCTGCAGCACAGACTCTGTCACCTCTATCTGCTGTAGCCACTGTGCACAAAAACAGAGATCGGGTGCTTAAGCGTAAAGAGCAGAGGCAAGCACGTCTGCGTATTCAGCTTTCACTGTGACTTTAGGGTGTGTCAGCACACACTACAAGTACTTAAATTCTCTAAATAAAAGGGGAAAAATTAACTTTATTATTACATCTTTTCTTTTATATATATTGGTGATGGAAAAAAGCATTATTTCAAAGCCTAGCCATTTACCTTCTAACATCATTTTGTTAATTAAGTAACATTTTAAAATAAGCAATGTCTGTCTGTATTGTCTGAATGTTACCTTTATTTTGACAAAAACTAGTGTAAGTGTAATTCCAGATAAAGAATCAGGGCATTTTGTGATGAAACTATCATTTACATCACCAGTGTCCTCAAGTGAGCTATTCTGAGAGGGTCAGATGCTTTCATGACACACGTTTACTGATGAGTGATGCAGTCATTACCTTTTCAGCCAATGTGAGAACTGTCCTTGCTTGTATGACAACTACTTGCTCTTCGTTGGTCAGATTCTGCACCAAAAGAGGAATATAATTACAACAAATCCCAGTGTCTTGTTATTAATCCACTACTTGGGCTACTGCTGTTTTAAATAAATATGAAATTAAATATGTTTGAGGAAAAATAAACTAAGGCAAAGAAAACTAGTATTGTAATGCAACATTGTAAAAATGATTGTAACTATTCATGTTGAATTGTTATCATACATATAGTTAATTCTTCTAAAATTCCCACATTTACAAAAAAAAAAGATATTGAGACTGGATCTACTTTTTCCCAGCAGGGAATAAACACACAGTTACACAAGACAAAATCAAGTTTAGCACAATGTGCCATTAAGAAAAGAGATGCAATCTTAAGTCCTCTGTGTTCCATTTTATGCACAGTAGGTTAATACACAATCCTTATTCTGCACAGCTAAAAGTCATGATTTTGGAAAACACTTGTTAAGATGTTAGTTTTTCAGTTAATATTTTGGGGTTTGTTTTGGTTGTTTTTGAGGTTTTTTTTAATGAAAATACTGAAGCTGTTTTGCATTCATCCCAAACCAGTCTTACTCTGACCACATCTACAGTAGCAGAAGTGAATCCTTCTAGTTTGGGACCCATATTTGCTCAGATCCAGAGAGCCAAGTCTGACCCACTGCTGTCAGGTACAGGAGGATGGGCCAGTCTCCGTGTGTTATCATTCCCACAGGGTAATTAGGAAGTGGTAAGAAGGGTGACTATGGTGAACTTCAATTTAATGCACAAAGCTGGCGACAGTGGAAGTGCTATCTGGCAGGGATGGGAGGAGACCTGTCCTGAGGACCCCTGAAAATTATCTCTTCCATAAATGTAATTTTTTTTTAAAATAAGTTATGTTACATTAAAAATGAAAACATCCACACAGAACATTAATGGTGTTCTTTCCTGTTCTGTGAGTTATCCCCTGACCTGACTCCCCTGTCTGTGGGGAAGAGGAGGGCATCTGTGTTCCTCAGCCCCCCTTCTCTGTGCCTGTCCCCAGTGAACCCGTAGGCTGCAGGGGATGTATTGCACTCCTCTGACCTTATGCTCTACTCCTAGAGGTACTCTCTCAAGGGTTTGCCTTACTCAAAGCCGTATTTAACTCACGACAGTTCAGCGGGAAGCAGCTGGAAGCTGCCAGGAGGCTTTACAGAAATGCAGGTGAGAAATTGTGCAGAAAAGAATGGAATCACTTGCACACAGGCAGGACACAGGTTCACTTTCCCAGACTCCCTAACAGCCAGACATGACAACATGCACCCACAGGGCGGAGTCTGCCATCGGTGGCTAAGTCTGATGTTAAACATGTGAAAACAAGAAAAAAACAAGTGGTAACAGCCTACAGTTATCTTAAAGCTATGTGAGGTGAGAACTGAGAACTCCCCCTTGTGTCGCATCTGGAGTTAACTTGTTGTATGTAATAGGAAAAAAAAATCAGGAGGAAATAACATTATAGACTAGAGATCATTAATGTAAGTAAAGAAGCCAAAAGGAAAAGAAAGAGAATAGAAAACTTGAGAAAAGCTATCACTTTTTCTGTTCCTGTTTATCTCCAAGTTGCCTGTTTGGGATGCTGTCCCAAAACAGTCTGCACAGGACTAACCTGACATTAATAATGCCATTGAAGACAACGTTAGCACAGGCATTAACAGATGAAGGGGTATTATCTTTCTACACATTAGTAGGGTCAGTCTTAGCTCGTTCATGATTAAGGTTATATGTATCTTTTTTTTATTCTTTGCACACAAAAGATTTTAGGATTCTTCATATTTCTGCCAGTGTGAATATCATTAACTGCAGCAGTGGTGAAGATTATTAATTGCTTCAATATGTTTCAGCTCCTCCACTAACTCGTGGCTTGATTTTGTGGGGCAGAGCTTGTAGATATCAGAGACTGGGGATGGTGGAGACACGATGACCCAACTGGTCTAATCAGAGAGGTGGACAAGAGGTACTTCCAGGCTACCCCCATGGCCCTGGGGACGGTGTTTTTGACAGAGGCACAGGGGAGAGCTGGGGCAGCTCAGGTGAGGAGCTGTGAGAATGGTGGGGACCTTTCTGCAGACCCAATGTCTGCATCGGGGTTGTCCCAGGGAGGAGCCCCGCAGCGGCCGAGGGCTCTGTGAGACCCTCTGCTCTCCTCTGCCCCTCATAGCTACGGGGGCTCTGTGGCTCTGCTGATAGATGAGAGTACAGGAAAAAATATATAAGGGCATCTGTATCTTCTATATACGTAACTATAGGTATAATTAATCACTTCCATTTGCTAAAGGAGAGATGCTTTCAAATTTCATATTATTTGTTTCTTCTTTTCTTGCTGCTGTTGTAACTTTTTGTTTAATATCCTAGTTACTGTCGAAGGTTTATGGGTTATTAGACACAATTAAAATACACAGCTGCTAAAATGCAAAAGCAAAGCAAATGCAGAGTAAGCAAATAAACAAACCATGTGTGAACAGTGACCAGAAAAAACCCCCCACCAAAGTTTCAGAATATTTTCCAAATCATTGCAGATTTAAAAGCAATACTGTGACACCAAGATCCCCCATGGCACTGGTCAGAAGGCTATTAACAAAATCTTAAAAAGAGAGAAAATGCTTAGCTCATAGCCCAGTACTTTGACCGCAGGGAGGACAGGTTGTACAGTAGCAAACCAAGAAGGCTTTGCTAACTTAACATGAGGACAAATATTTACCAAAGCATGCACAATTTATTAAAGGAACATACACTTACGGCGTTATCCCCTAAAATGTCCAATTTTTTCATCAGCTCTGCTACTACTATGTCCTAACAAGAGAGAAATGGAAAACCAGCAGTCAGAACAGTGTGTCTGATTTTATTTAGGGAAAGGAAAGTATGAAGCAAGAATCCCTTACTGTTACACCTTCTGCCTCGCAGTAGACTTGGAGAGGGCTTTTCCCCTCTGTAAAAGGACCGTGATGGAAGTTGATGGCAGGTGATCGTCTTTCTCTCTCCTGAAATGACAATAATTGCTTGGTTATACACTACGGTATGTCACAAATGGCAGCTTCACCAAGAACTTGATAATTATGGTTTCAAAAAGGCTCACTCTAACTGAACACATTGCAAAGCAATGCTGTCACAGAGTGGCTTTATTTTGGGTGAACAGAGCACAGAAACCCTTCTTCCTACACCCTGTAGCTATTGACACTAACAGCCAGGAGCAAGAGCCATTTCTCTGGCCAGACCATGTGCTTTTGTGAGGGTACTCAGGGCTGACAGGGAAGACCTCCACCTCACTGCAAAGCAGGATAGACGTACATATTAACAGTGCTAATATTTTCCCACCATGCTTCTTCATTGGGCAGTGACCATGACCACTTACCTATTATTTTGACTACATAATATATTTGAATAAAACTATACACTTACAGATAGTATAATATAAATAGCATTTAAATTTTTCTTGTAAGTGGCTGCTTTGCTACTCTCTCTTTGGAGAACGTGGAAAACAGCTTCCAAGAGCTTATGGATTCTGTTTATACAGGTAATGATACAGAAAACAGAAGGCTCAGTGGAGTAAACAGAGCAGTCTATAGGCCATGTGATTCCTTCTCTGCAGGTTTAGCAAGAGGTGAAAAACAGCAATGAGTTTTGGCAATGGAAAAAAGTTCCTTTTTCTTTTTCTTTCCCACATATGATCTGTTCTGGTTTTACCTCTTTGCATTTCAGAACAGATAGAGTATAGTAAAATGTGTATGTACGTCATGAGCCAATCTTCTGGATCTTAAAATTATTTAAGTAGTAAGACTGCCAGAACAACCTATCAAGAACACCAGTATTGATCCCTGGGTGTTTGTTTGAGGTTTTTTTTTTCTCTTTTTTAGCACTTTGTACTAAACCCTTTGGTCTCGTTCAGTGCAATGCAGCTCTTTAGAATAAACATGGGCGAGTTCCCAAAGCCACAGTGCTCCCGGCCATGGCTTGCGCAGCCCAGGGCAGGTGGGCAGGACCATGGCTGCAACACGTGCTCACTTCAAGCTCCAAGATCCTGAACTCCAGGAGCTCGTTTTGATCCTTAACATCCTGGACATCATGTTGTAAGCGAGCTTCCTCAGCTTCCATTTGTTTTATCTGCAAAATAAAGCAACATGTGTTAGCACCGTTTCCAGAGTGTCACTCAAGATCCGCTCCGCTTTGACCGTGCCGGGGAAATGCTGGGGTCAGCATGAGCGCCGAGGGTCCGAGCCCACACCCTGGGGTCAACACGAGTGGGGACTGCAGCACCAGCACTGGGGGAGCACGGGGCTTTCCCCCACAACCACGTCCTCACACAACCTCACACCAGGATGTTTTATGGGGCAATAGGGAATGCCAGAAAACCACTTTTTCTGGCAGGTTTATAAGGATCTTGTTATTACATGTGAATTATTTCCAGTAGAGCTGTGTGATACAGATTAAAATATTGCACCTTCTGCATTCCTTAAGCTACAAATATTATTTGAATAATACAAATAGAAACATTGAACACCTTTTCTACCAGTTCTTGATTTCTTCTATACAATGCTTGCTTCTCCTCAATCCACTTCATATCCTTGAAAACGAAATGACCAATATTGTAGGTGAAGCTGGCAATGTTTAGCACAAACACAGTAGCAAGTATTTCATTAAATCACACATCTAGAGAAGAGGGACAGAATAATATTGCATATGAAATTGTAATTCCGTTATTTCCTATGATATGAAAGCTCACCCTTTCCATCTTATTTTATCAGTCTGTAGTATACAAATGGAATAGAAACACTCCAATGATTAAAAAAAACACTTTCAGATAAAAGATTGGTTTGCATTAAAAGGGGTATTTCTAGCTGTGCAGTTACTATTAAATTTCAATTATACTGAACACAAATTACATATTCTGAACACTAGGAAAAATAAACCTTATTTTGAAACTAATTTCTTAGTTTGATGTATATATAAAAGCCACAAACCCCAGAACATTATTAACAATAATAAGAGGCTAAGCTGGAAAGGTAATGATCAAATGATTTAGTATTATTTTAATGTTCTCAAAAAACATTTTATGTTTCTGGGTTTGGGTTTTTTTTTTTGGTTGGTTTTTTTGGCTGGAAAAGTAAGACACAAGCTAGAAACAGCCAAGGAACATTTCTTGTATTTCCAGCTGGGGCTTGGATATTTGCAGTCTGCGATATTTAATTCTCAAGGCTATCCCAAGGCTAGAGGTGTGCCTGTTTCTTTATCACCTTTGGATGCCAGTGTGCGAGGTGGTTTTAAACTCTGTACTCTTCCAATTTAAGGTGCATTCTCCTTTTAACTTTTCCTGTGTTACGCTACTTTATCCATATCTCTGGACTGTGTAACCTCAGTGCCAGGATTGACTAGTTCACCTGAGCCATGAGGAGGAGGGTGTTGCGTGGTGGAGTAGAGGTGCTTGGCTTGAGTTGCCACCCCGCTGCCAGGATGCTCCCCGATTTTGGTGGTGTGGACATGGGCGCAGGATCCTCCTGCATCCAAGGGACCGCACAACTGCACTGTGAGCATTGAGAGCCACTCGGCTCTGCAGGCAGGGAATCAGAAACTCCCAACACCATGCTGCCTTTTCTGTTTGGGGAACATTACAAGGGAGAATTTTCTAACACTAGCTAGGCAAGGACGTATGCAAACGGCAAATATTTGGACGCAGCACTACAGTCCAAAGGGATCCAAATAGCATGCAACAGCTAGAAGTATAATGTGGTGTCTGCGAGGGGCTGAATGTCACCCACCGAAAGCTGCAGTGGCATGCAAACCTGCCAAGAACTTGAGTGGGGCTGGCTTTGCAGAATGAAATCTCAAGGTCGGACCAAGATGACAGACTACCAAGCCAGCCTTGAATGAGCCAGTCATGCAAAAGCAGACACCTTGCAGTGAATTCAGAAATTAAAATTACCAAGTGTAAGCCTTAACACATCAAAGCAAAAATAAGACATCTTAATAATGCCTGATGGGATGAAAAAGGTAGAGCTCAATAGATGTTTGGTTGAATGTGATGTGCTTCATGTTAATCATTTAGACTAAATTTCCTAGAGTGCAATTTCGTAGATTATTCAGTTGTATTTCAAATTAATCCTTTTTGAAAGAATGACTGAGATGATTTGACAAGCTATTGCATGAACAGGCTGCACAGTGACCTACACAAACAGCTGAACTGGACACTTCAAATAGCCCTAATACACAAATTTACTCTGTATTTAAAGAAAGCATTCACAGCAAAGTTTTTCACATGATAAGAACCACTTTGTCTTTGCTGAAAATACACAGCCTGTGCTCTGCACTTCCTCCTTCCCTTGAAACGTTTAACCACTTTCTAATTTAACACCCGATTTTCTCCTTTTAAGAAAGCAAAATCTTGTGGAGCTACAAGGAAAGATGCTGGCAAGGAAAGCTTACTTCTACATTGACTAAATAAACATTTCATTAGAAAAGAAATATTATTCCTTTATTTTACCTTCCCAGTTTTCTCCTAGGTATCAAAAATACTGGTAGTCTGTGAGATTTTAAAGTAGACCAACTTCTTGCCAAACACAATTGTTCCCTCTCTTTGCCATAATACTTTCTCAGTATTTATATTCATCTTCAAATTGATAAGGGAACTGACCTGTTATTCACCGATTTAATTTTCAGGAGATGCATAATAAAACAACAGAGAGCAATTTTAAGCTAGGGACAAGTAAAGGGATAGAGGAGGACTAATGGGCATGGCTGTCAGCTGGGTGCCAAACAGACCCTGCGCTTTGGGGCTTCAGGCAGTGACAATAAGCATGGGAATTCATTTCCTCTCTGGCTGTGCAGAGAAATTCTCAGTGTCCTATAGATATATCGCACCCATTTTGACTTCAAAGCTGTACGTGTACCGAATTCAGGCACCTCTTTACCAGCTGACTTTTGCTTTCCCTTACTGTAACATCTACGCATCACAGATCCTTTCACGCAGGCATCGCCTGCTGTTCTCTCCATTACACTGGAGCAAGTGAGGCATTAAGGCTGAGATCAGCAAAGATATATGGGGCTTTAATGGGTGTTGATTTCAGGAGTTAGCATGTAAGCACTGACAGGGACTCAGGGCTTTGGGGACTGATGTTTGAGACATTAACACATGTAAATGTGGCGAGTGGGGTTTTCAAAAGCCCTTGCAAGCCTGACTCTCCTTGAAACTAACTAGACCACATGTATTGAGTGTTTTATTTTCAATTAATTGACACGTTTATTGAAATAGTACTTGGTAGATTACATTAATGTCGCCTAAATCAGAGGTGCAGCGGTGATGGGGATTGTGCAGGGTAGGTCACTACAGTGCACATTGACAGGGACAATAATTGCTTCCCTAGTGTGTCTGCTTTGTATGAAGTGAAACAGCTATTGAAGAGTCGCATCAGGATTATTCTATACATACATAAACGCTCACTAGCATCTGCAGTATTATATGGTAATATGAACAGGCATGTTTCTAGAGCCCCCTCCTGCCCCCAGCACGAAGGCTGGAGAAAGGGCCAGTGTTTGGCTGCATGCATTACCTGCCCCTGCTCAGCAAGGGCCTTCTCCAGGTCTTCTATCTGAGCCTGAGATCGGTGTATTTCTGCTTGGAGCTGCTCACGTGTCTGTAGGATACGAGGGAAGAAGAAAAAAATAATAAATCAAACTTTCTCTAAAAGACGAAAGCTAACACAGGTACAGAAAATAATTAAAACATCAAATACTTCTAACAAATAATTTTTAAAGTTGTTTGGCAGAATAAATTTGCAACTAAGCACATAACATTAGTCATTAATCATAAAAAGAAGTCTGTAAGATAAGATAATAATTTTGAGACTTAAGTCAAGATTACCATAAACAGCATCCCATTAGGTAGACAGTAGGACAGCAAAATATAAATGGCTTCTTACAGCTGGTTATGACAGTCTGCAGTGAGCAGCCTTCCCTATTGTAGAACAAGGCATTTAAAAAAGCCAGTGTAATGCAAAGATTCATTTCTCCATGAAGACGAATGAAAATTATTATGCGACAATTCTGGGCACACCTGATTCCTTTAAATTTTTGACGAGTTAAAAAGCTCAGAACAAACCCTACATATGTAACATTACAAACTGGCAAACTGCATTCCTCCTTATGCATTTAGTACCCTATCTTATGGTCTTACTGTATTGTGTGTAATTTTTTACTATACTTGTAGCTTCATGCTTATTTAAATATATACCATCTTCCTACACGTGTTTTCTGGAGAATAAATGTAATTATTATTAGCTGTTTTATTCATGAAATATTGCTTTATAGAACATTTTCTTTCCTCAAACCATTTATCTGCTATTTATCTTGTTATTTACAATGAAAATGATCTTATTTGTTTGCATTACCTGCATTGTTCTCTCTTTTTGTCTCACTATGGAAAAAGTAAAATCAAGTCACTTTTCAAGTTGGGCATGTCTTGTTTCATTACGATTTTCTTTACATGTGCAATCCCTAACACTTCAGAGCAGAGTGCATGCTTCTGGGAACGTTAGTTTTAACGCAGTTTGAGCATTCAGAGAGAGTGAGATATGATCTATGATTGCCAAACAGGGAGGTCGCCGGGAGACAAGGGATGCTGCTAAATCTGGGTGTCTGAGAGGTACTCAACAGTGGAGACAGTGGAGAACTTAGAGGTTAATTCTTTGAATTATTCAGTGGAAGAAAACCAGATTAGTTATATAGCTAGGAAAGCCAAAATATTAGCATAATGATGGACTTCAGCTAGAGGAATTTGGCAATTTGTTTTATGTCTAATTGGGGCCAGGGAACTGCTCGTGGTTGGGACAGTCACAGCTCAGTGGTATGTGGTGCTGGGCTGCAGCTGCCAGAGGTGTCCCCACCGGGGGCACCAGGTTGGATGATATGGGTATGTCCCAGCATTGTCACCCTTACCTTGAACTACTGTAAGCGTTCCTGGATAACACGCTCACACAATAGATATAAAGCCAAATTAAGACTTTGCAGTTACATTTCTCCTATTAAACTTGAAACTGTTAGCTCAGAACAGAATTTTCTCCTTTATTTACTGTATTCACCCTTGCATTCTGTGTATGATAATTCCTGTCAAGTCCTTGTAATATACACCATACTCATAATAAATGTAACATTTTATGCCAGATGTTTGAAGCCACATGGGCTGTGTGAGGCAGATAGGCAGGCAGAATAGCATAGGACACTTTGCAATTTAATTAAGAAAAAGAATCTCAGCTATAAGCCTTCTAAACATTTTATGAGGAATCATGTAATCTCACAGAATCCAGAAAGAATTAAATACCAAGCATTATATATTTAAGGCTATTTGTCCTAGATTTTTATAGAAAAAGAGCTTAATTTTAAGGATTTCCCATTAAAATTCTCTCTGAATTTCTCTTAAACTGATCAGAGGTGAAAAGACTAAACCGTAGTAATGGTGGTTCCTCCAGCCAACCAGCACTTCACAGGGGATGCCGGACAACCTGGCTGGAGTTAGAGACCCTGGAGCCCACCTTGGCAGCCAGCCCAGCCGAGTCCCCTGCCCTGCACTCTCAGCCAGCAGCGGGCTGGAGTGGCTGGCTGACCCTGATTTAGCTTGAAAACAACCTGAGCAAGTACAGTTGGAAACCCCCATACAATTACAATCCTTTATTTTCATGTAATATAAGCCATTTAGACCTTAACTTCTCGTTCTGCATCCAATGTTCCTCCGACCTGTTCTTGCAATAGGGCGTATGCTCGTTGCAGAGCCTGGTACTCCATTGTCAGCTGCCGAAACCGCAGTTCTGTCTCTTCCTTGGCCATGCCCTGGAATTAAAAACAAATATGCATTGCACCAGTTGCTTTTTTTCTGCAATGAAAGTAAAAAATATTATAAGAGTGGGTTACATTTGCTTTCTCTAAAAAGTGCAAAAATTGTTACTTTCAAAATGCAATTTGTGAAGCACAGTACTAAGGATCTTGTTTATGTACCCTCAGACTATTTCTCTTTTGTCCCTTAAGCATCTCTTCTGTACACTTACTTCAAGAAAATGCAATATAGAAAAAAAAAAAGAGAATTTGCCCCACCTTGGAAAGATAAAAACTCGCCATCCATATAACATACTAATGACTGAATCGCCCTTTATTACTGTAACAGGCAGAGTCATCACGTTTAAAGGTAAAAATACAACTTTCTTGAAACAACAAAAGGTTTCCAACCTGGAGAATAAGCCAGCCCTGACAGTCTCACTCAATTATTAAAACACTAATCTAGAGTTAATACTTGTAGAAATGGTGACATCAACATGAAAAGACCCCTTCATCTTCTTCACTCTCCTTAAAATATTCAGCATTGAATGCTTTCATGTCAGGTTGACTGGAATATTTCATTCGACATGAAATGAAATTATACTGCTGGTTGCATGCATAAACTTCATACTATCTGAACAGGGAAAAAAATGTCAATACAGGAATGAAAAATAAATAGGCTCATATGTATAAAAATACATTCAGATTCCCTGCAGTGCAGCACACACCTGGTAACTGGTCATGTATCTTTTATGATGGAGATAGGAATTCTTCAGGTTCCCTTTTAACAGATCAAATTACAACCCATGAAACAGGTGAAATGGCAGATGAAAAAGGCTGCAAGTCATTATTAGCAATTTTTTGTTTATTATGAGGTCCTTGTTAAACCCAGAAACATGTACAGTGATCTGACATACACTCGGGAAAGCATTTGTAGGGAAGCCCTACAAAACACCAGGAATAATCACTTGTATTTGTATTACCAACTACCTTTGTGTACTCTGCATTCAGAGCCTCCAGAAAAGTTAGGACCTCAATATACTGGTGAGGAGACAGCCTTTCCTCTGGAGGTTGGTGCTTTATGTGACTGCTTACTTCTCCAGAAGTACACAAACCTTATTGCTTAAGGCTGCACTCTGTGCCAGGGTTAAAATGACAAATAGAAGGACCTGAACCAAACTACACATGCACAAACCTGCAGTAAATCTCAGTGTGAACAGATCTTCCTAGGGTTATCCAACTTCTCAGTCTTTTTAGACCTCTAACTTACAAACCCATTATAAATCTAACGTTCTTAGGATATAATATTTCCAGCTTGGCTAAAAGTTGTGAAATTACTGAAGACTTGAGATCCAGAGATATTAACCAACATGCACAGTGTTGAATTTAACATAAGTTTTTAATTTTCTGGTCAGAAGTGACAAATGAATAACAGACCAGGAATTTCATCAAAAATTAGTAGTGAGGTTTCAAAACAAAATAACACATATTTTTGACAAATACCTCTTCCAAGTCATCTTCAGGAGTGCAAGGGGTTTGATCTGTCCGGTCAGTTTGATATGAGATAGAGGAACCATCAGACTCCAAGGAAGCTTCTTCATCGTAGCCAAAAAACGTCTCCACAACCGGCTTCTGACAGAGACAAGGTGTCAGTGAGCGCAGCCGTGTGGCGCGGCAGCGGTGCCATCGGCTGCGCCAGCCCGACAGCATCAGGGGGACAGCAACAACTTTGGACACATGGCTAAACCCTGCGCCTTTGTAGGATTTGAACATATACACCTTTGGAGGAACTTGAATTCCAGCTTATTGGTAATTTTCACCCTATTGGTTTTTGAAAAACCACCCAGTTCTTTACATGTATTCTGTAAAGCTTTTTCACCCCAATGGTAGTGCTTTACAATAGCTAAACCTATTCAAATCATGGAATCATCATGTTTGTTATTAGGTATAATGGTGTGCAACCTCAAAGCCCCCGCCTTTTTTTAATGTATTTTCCTCCCGATTTCTCCAGCTAAGGCAGACCACCCTTTTTACTTCTTTGTGTGTTCATCTCAGTGTAGGGTGGGAGTTATGCATTGAAATTTCTTTGTTAATCCATCGTCATCACCACGATATCCCTCCTGTCATTACCACAACTGTCACATGAAAAGTTAGATTTTCAAGAAATATTCTACTTGAAAATTTGAAGTTAATCACCATAGCGATGTTTTTACAGTTTGAAGAAATCCATTTTTCCACTCAAATCTGCTTTCTTTTTAAAAGAATGAGGGTAGTGCTGGTAAAAAAAGATTTACTGTTAAATGCTTGAAAGTCAAAGATGACATTTCAAACGCAGTTTTAAAGATATTTTTAATTGTTGATTTACAAAAAAACATTTCTAGATTTTGGATATTATTTTTTTTTATTTGCAGTGGATAACTTTTGAAGGAGACAAAATGTAACTCTCCTTCAAAGGCCTGGTTGCCATTTGCAGGATGACAGGAGTTAAGGAGTTATCTTGCATTGACTGCAATTCATTGTTTATAGATTCATTAGCTCCATCACTGCCTTAATTCTTCATATGCAGAGCACAGCTTACTCGCAGGTCCCTGACATTATACCTTATGATGTTACAGTGTTAATATTTATATTAACATCCTGCCAAGTATTCATTAACTAACATTTTCTTTTTCCCTGAGTTCTAACCATTGCTCCTTGTAACCAGCAATTTTTGCATGTTACTAAACTCCATAATGAATTATTTACAACCTACATATGTTTTCAGGCAGTGCCATTAAAAGATCATCTTGAGATGTGTTAATTCACAAAATCTGTCTCATCTTAAGACAACCACATACCATGGAAGTCCCACAGGACACCGAAACTGCGCAGGGTAACTGCAGAGCATGCAAATGCTTGCAATGCACAATGCAAACTGTTCCCCTACCCCTACCAGATCTTGTCTGAATTATTCCAGTACTGTCTATGAATGTCCTTGAACCCAAATTTAAGATTAGGACCCGTTTCTAGATCCTTGAGGAGAGTGTCCCCCCGCATGGCTCCAAGGCGCTTGGAGCACCCCAGGAAGCCAGCATGCCCATCAGCATGTCATGATACAAGGTTTTTTTTTACCTTAGGAATTCTTGTCATTTTTTTCCTTTGCTTCCTATACCTTAACAGCTTATCACGTTCCTGAAAGAATCAGATACATACGTTAGCTGTTTTCAAAGAGCTGTTACTTAAATTAACTATGTCAGTACTAGTAGTCATTAGGCAATCAAGAAATAGTGATGTCAGTGCTGGCCACTGCCTCAAAATTAAATAACCATGTTTTCATCAGTCAAATGTTAGTTATACTCCAACATCTTCTAAGTTTGCCATGTACAAGTATCAATTGCTCTTTATATTCATGAAAATCAAAACAGCAAAAGAAAGCTCATTATAACCAACACAACACACTGACAGCTTAGGCCTCATTTCAGAGCTGCTCCGTGAGCAAGCATGCGCATTCAAGCCCGTGCTATGGCTCGTCTCTGGTAGATGGGCTCTCTGTCCAGGGGTGATAAGCAAAGACCGACTACTTCCCTTGGGTCTCCGTGCTGTGGCTGTTAGTGCCCTCTGGAAGGTGCACACATGTAACAGCCCAGCTACCCAAAATTCAGAGACTGTTTGAAATGAGCACTTTCAGTCTCAGCTGACTTCTCTAAGGATCTGCAGGTTCCCAGTGCTTCTGAAAAAGGGTTTGAGCATTTATTGCTGCCAGCAAATTTTTCTGTTCAGTGGAAATGATGACACTCTTCATAGAGTCGCATCAATTTTTTATAGTACTGAAAAAAATTTCTTTATTCTGGATTGCAAATACCAGCAAATGCCAGGATTGCAGAGAGTAAAGTTCTAAAGGGAAAACCCCTATAATCTTTCATTTTAACCATTTGGTAAAAGGATGCGATGACATTGTGGGATATTGATAATGTCCCAACACCATCAGCCCAATGGCAAATCCTAACATCAGCAGCAGTGCCAGAAGAAAATCAAATACTTGTTTTGCTTGACAACAAAAGCTTTGCTGTACACTTGGCAATGAAGAACAAAACAGCCCACATTTTATCAATATATATTAGTGGCTTAACTTCACAAAATTTTTACTGATAATAACAAAGCGATGAGTCGGGCAAGGGCAGTGACTGAGAACATGCCAGTAGGGGTGAGACAAAGCTAGTGGTAATCAGACTCTAAAAAAAATGCAATTCTAACATTGTCTCTGTGTCAGAGCTGTCCCGGAGATGGAGGACACTCGCTATCAGCCATCAGGACAGGGTGACCACACTGACCTTTGCCTCTAAGGTCATCCTAGTGGTGGAAAAAAGCTTTCCTCTCTCAACAGAGCTTTCCTTTCCACTATCACTACATTTTTCTCTGGTGAACAACTTCTGCTGATATGGCCTTTGACAACATCTACACTGCGAGAAACGCTGTGTTAGCTTGCTGCCTGAATGGAGATGTAACTGATAATAAATATTATTATACCCTGCATGCTTTTCATGAACAGCAATTTAAAGCATACAAAGATGAGGATGAAGTTAACGTCATTCTTACCATGACACTCTTCACATAGCCAGCAGTTTCCAGTGTCTAATGAAAAAGAATGAAATAATGTCAGTAAGTGTACAGACTTAAAAAAAAAAAAAAGGTATTTTCTTGAGGAGTACTACGATTTCAGTATTTTCTCTTTCCAAAGACTGAGAACATATTAACAAAGAAGCAAAACCCCAAACACAACATTGCAGAACACCCGCCTTGTACACAGCAATCTTTAGCCCTGATGCTGTCTCCAGCTAAAGGAGCTCTGACATTTTCTCTCGCAGGTGCAGGATCCGGCCATCAGCATATCTACTGGATGTGCTGCAATGCTTCTGTCATGCAAGTGCAATGTAGATTGAAAGGATCTTTCCAAATACTATGCCACAGATAACTTATATTCAGTTCAATTACTAGTAATCATAGAAATGCCTACCATGTTCCACTGATGCAAGCTATGCCCATTAGCTCACAGAACCCCAAGCACCCCTTTCTTAGGCCTCCTGTTCTTCTGCTATGGCCTTAGTTGACCTTGCATGAGAGTGGCAGTATTACATCATACCTTGGAGAGTTCATCAATGATATTTTGCTGTTCAATAACTTGTAGTCTCAGGAAATCAACTTCTCTTTCTTCCTGGCTATGGTCAAGGTCATTTAAAGAGCTCGGTCTCCTTATTGTTCCAGCTCTTTGCCTCTAAAAGAAACCCACACGGCAGAAGAGGAAACGATCAGAAGGCTTTGCCAAAGGACAGTACACAACCCTTCCCTTTACAGCTAGTGATGCATCTAATCTAATGGCTGTTGTGGCAGCTATCCTTCTCCCCTTTTGCTGGGCAATACAGCTAGACTGCAAACACACCAGGTGTTCCTGACCCTCAGATTACCACGTGAAGCTCGCGGTCACCGGGGAGGACAGCAGGCATGGGGGCCATCACACCCTGCCTGTTAGTCTGCCAAAGATGGGGGCTAGCAGCTGCTCAGCTGCACCTGCTCTTTAGTTCTGCCAAGAGCTGTGTGGAGAAGGAATTCAGAGAGCTGGGACCAATGTTGCTTCTCTCCAGGTCCCTCTCACTAGTTTTGATCTGCAGCAGTCCCGGAGCTGCAGCAGCCATAGGGATGACCCCAGCCCTCCTACATTCATGCAATGCCACAGCTACTTGCTACCGGCTATCGCCCACTAACAATACTCAACTGAAAAAAAGGGAAGAGAGTCACAAGTGCAGATTTCCTAGGGATTATGAGGTGATTCTGGTACAAAAGTCAAAGGTGAAGTGGGATGATTTGTGCTCATGTGGAAGCTGAGCAGCCAGTGACTGAGCAGTCTGATCAAAATGTGCAAAGCTCACACAAATTTCTTTTCTTCAGAACTATTTGTTTTTAAAGCTAAAATAAAACATTTTATGTAAAACAAAACATGTTTGAGCCACAAACCACTCAGTAGCGCACCGCAGAACATCTCAGCAAGCACCGGAAAGGGGAAAGTTTCTTATCAAACTTGCAAGTTTGGGATGATGCCTGACTTCATCAGCCCTGTGAGTACTAAATTACATGTTCTTCCTGGAGCATACAGAGACTTACCATTGCTATATTTTCTTGTGTTACAAATTTTAATTTATTTTCCATTCGACGTAAGGCATGTGACAATTCTTCATTCTTCCTACTAAGGCGTTTATTTTTGTCCAAAATGGGCTTATACTGACTTTCAGCTTCTCTAAGACGTTTTAACTGAAAGATAAAGAGATAATTAACACCTCCAGAGCTGTTCTTTTTCATCAAATACATTAATCATTTTCCTTAACTACCACACTAGCAGTATTTTCTCCTAATGCAAAGCAGAATTGATAAAAAATTCTTGGTATTTTCCATTGGGAAACAGATAGTTCCTTCTTCATGAGGTATTCACTCTGTGCAACAAACATACCATGTGGGGAACGTATTTTTTTTTTTAAATAAATAAAAATAATTCCAGCTAATGCCATCTTAAAAAGTCATTGTTATATAAGCGAAGATGAGTGTAATGTGGCATACCACCAAATACAGAGCGTAAGGAGGAGCCTGCTACTCCTGCAATGATTTCAAAATGGCACAGGGGAAAAAATCTCGATATTTTGGGGATAAGGCACAGCCACAGCAGCACATTCTCAAGCAGTCATTGCCGCGCTTTGCAGCTGCACTCACCAGCTCATTTCTCTCCTCCGACAGCAGCGCATTCCGGTCCTCCAGCTTCCTGATGATGGCGCTCAGCTCAGCGATTTTAAGTTGGAAACGCCGGGCATCCTTTTCATCCAACTGCTGTTCCTAAAACAAAGATCAACTGCAAATAACTGTTCCTAAGTGTACACGCAATATCAATATTTTTCAAAGCTCAAACTTTTTCTTACCCCAAATCCAAACATTTTGAAACATTATACAGCAGAGTGTAACATATGTAACCTAACTGACCACTGAAAGCTGCAGGATGAGACCAACGGAAAGTTAGGAGTGAAAATGTAACAAAGTATGCAAATGCAGAAGTATGTATATGCAAATACAAAGTCACAAATGGTAAACTTGGAAATAGAAAAGAAAATATCAAAAATTAAGGCAATGTTTCCAATGTATGCCACTGTTGAACTGAGTGCTTCAGACACATCACCCACTCTGAGGACTTTGATATAAGAAAATGATATTAAAAATACTGAAGTACAAATGGGGAAAATCCATGCAATTATACCATTGCATAAGCTCTTCTTCCATAAAGCTGTGGCCCTTATTGGGTTCTAAAGGGTCACTTGTAAAACCAAAGGGGTAGCACTTTATCTGAGTGAAAATGCTTAAATCAAATTATAAATGACTAGAAATATAGGACGACATGTTCTCGTTCAGAATCAGAGAGAAGTTACATCTATTTACAAATGTGACAGACTTTTTCCCCTTCTCTAGGACTTGTTCTGATGTTTGGCGGAAGTTGAGTACAAATCGAAACAAGCAAATTAGTGTCCGTAGTGCTGGTGGCACTTTTGGGACGTCTAGGGTTCCTCATTCAACAGGTGCAGGAGAGGCTTGGGACAAAGAATAAAATAGATTGGTTTGCTCATGTACAAGTATTTACACTTCTACTGAGAAAATTAAGGCTGTTGCAAAAGAAATCTTGATGAGAATCAGCAATGAAGAAAATTTGCATATGTCAGATATAGGAGGTCAGTTAACTAAGGGTTTTTTAATATTAGCAAATTAAGGCAAAAGCAGACGGGTGCCATAGTTATATTAAAAAAGCCATTGTGAAAGGGTGACTAAAATTCTGGATATTGCATTATAGGAAAGAAATAGGAGAGAATAGGTTAACAGGTGTTTAATTCACTTTCTGGTCCACTGAAAGCGAGAGCACTTAGCAGCACAAAAACCAGAGCTAGCAGCGGTGTTCCAGGAGGACCGTGGGACTTCCCACACTTTCATGCACCAATTACCTTCCCCCATTTACCTTTGTAAACTGGCCTTGTACATCTGCTCACAAAATCCATTGTTAGCAGTTCCAAAAGCTAGCACACATACATTACTTGGTTAGAAATGCATTTGCATCATTTGTTGGCAAAATTGTGTCAAACTGTCAAATTAAGGCAGGTGGCAGAAGTATGGTACAGTGAGGAAAAGGAAGAGAAAAAGAACAGAAAAATTTCACCCTGCTAACAAAACCAAACCAAACAAACCAGAAAACAAAACAACAAAAAAGCAAAAGCTCTCCCATAACAAGATTTGATTTTAAATCTTAAAGATTTGGCTAACGAACGAGAGCAAGAAATTGGTGCCTCGGGGTTTCCCCTGCACGGCTATGGGAAAGCTGTTGCTTGAGGGTGCACTCATCAAGATTCTGTCACTTTGTGCCATTTTGTCACTCTGCTCATTTGTGTAGGTGAAACCACGTGAAAGTGCTTACGGGGCTTCCCGAATGATCTGAAGCGTCTCCTGCACCACTTGCATAAGGAAGTTCCCGCTTGGGGCTGCTCAGATGCCGATCAGACTCTTTGATCTGGGAAAGTTGTTCATCTAAAGCCTCCTTTTGGAGCTGCAGTCTCTGAGCATGCCCGGCTTGAACCCCTAACTCTCTCTCCAGCACGTAGACTGCTCTGTCTTTAAATTTAATCTCCTCCATCTACAAGGAGAACAGAACACAATCACACAGGCAGGCAGCGGCTTGACAACAACAGAGCATCTTATGACCCCAAACGCGGCCAAAGAACAGTGGCACAGAGCTGACACCCCTCAACACGGAAAATACAACAACGCTCTCTTGGAAATCAATGAATATTTGACAGCGAACATATGAACTGAATCGCTTAACCAACTCATGAATATTACTCTTCTTTTGGAGGCCACACAGAATAAAATCTTTCTTTTCAGCTGGAATTTTTTCATGAAAATGATTGGGAAATAATCCATATTCTTAGTACCATTTCAGAATATCTTAAAAAAAAAATAAAACCTAATATTCATATCACAATTTGAATTAGTTCACTCAAACATTTCAGTGATTCTGCAGCATTTTGTTTGGACATCACCTTTTGAAAATTTGGATTCATAATTTTAAAAGAAAAATATTAAAACCTGAATATCCTTTTAATTTTCAAAATATAGAAGGAATGTGAATTTTTAAAATTCTTTTTCCAAAAGTCTCCCATGAGAGCAATTTGTTTAATTATCCCCTTTCCATTAAAGGTTTTGCTTGTGCATAATAAACATTATGCAAAATCATTAAGTGCTTAAATGACTCATGTCCAGATATCTCTAATTCTCTTCTTTCTTATTTGCCTGCACTGTTCTCGATGAGTTCAGAGAGCCACGCTCATCGCCATTGGATTGGGTATGTTGAATTTGCAGGTGCTCAAGGAATATTTTCTGGATATTTTCTCTGAATGCTAATGTGGAATTAAAGCCTCCCTCTCTATGGAGCTGAGCCATGTTCACCCGTGTGGACTGCTGTGCTCGGAGGTGTGCCGGCCAGAGGGGTGGCTCGCACTGCAGGCTGCGTGCACATGCTATGGCTTACGCCAGGATCAGACCCTTAGAGTCTGTTTAGGATGACAGACAAGGATGGCCTGTGCCCTGCCTAATAATGAAAAATTACTGAGCACAGCCTGAAATCTTCTTCTGTGTCTGTGATGATGTACAGCACTGCAACAGAATCCCAGGCTCTTCCCAGCTGGATTGCATACATATACATTATACATGAATATAAAGTATTAATTACACTCACACGCCACAGGGTTGCCAAATGTGCTTACAGATAATGATTCTATGGAAAGAAAGAAATCATATACATCCCCTAAAATGTCTGTTGATCTGGTTTCAGACACCATACATGCATAAGATTTTTGGCGTAAGTTTTTGAGACTTTACACATTTAATTTAAATGATTGATTTTTAAAATGTGGCCTGCTTGAAATAAGAACATTTTGCCTTGTGAGAACTGCGTTTGATACTTTTATCTTTGATATCTTTGTCTGTAAACCTGGAAAAAAATGACATTGTGAATTAACAGATCACTCAAAGTACTTTGTTTCCAATAACTGCAAAAATGGCCCACCCAGGGAAAAAGCAAGTGATTGCAGTTTACGCACAGCCAGCAATGGTATCGGGAAATTACTTCCATTAGGTGTGTTTGGGTGGAGGGGTTGATTACAGCTTACAGCTGTGAAATAAATTACGCAGGAGAGGACACAGCAGGTTGGGGCACAATGTCCCTCTGTTGCATAGTGTGGAGGCTGCGTCCGGACCCAGGCCAGGCGAGGTGCACTGTCACCCCATCACCCTCATGCACTGGGGAAGCTCCGTGGTTCCTGCTCCAGCTGTAGGTGAGAACCAAGGTGCTCCCTGAGGGGCCGCACTGCTCAGGGTGGCACTGCCCTTCGGTAGCTGCAGGAAGGAAGAACGGAGCTACAAACCCAGAGAGATCCCGCATCATCCCCGGGGGAAGAGCCAGCCTTTGCCAAAAGACAACGTAGGACAACTCAAAAGTAGCTGCGTGGAAGCTGTGTTTCAAGGTTATGCAAAATTTTGATTCCTTTAGTAAAACGGAGCAAATCAAATGTACTTTGGGTGCCATTTTATTAAAGGTGCTTTCAACAATTTACCTTAAGGCAACAGTCTACTAACTTTGAATGAAACAAAGAGATGTACCCTGAGGTCCTTCTGCTGAATACCTAATCAGGTAGAAATCTAAATGGATGTACAGATGAAAAGGTAACACATAATCAAATGATTATTTGTTTAAAATAAGCAGACTATTGGGTAGTTGATCCCAATTTATATGAAAACAAAGACATGTTACCCCATAGGCAACACTTTAAATCAGGAGGAACAAAGAAACTGGAGAAAATACGAATGATTTCGCAGCATTTCAACTAATGGTTTGTTTTCCAGAAAAAACCCTAAACATAATCTTCATAAACAACGAAGGAAACATCAACATTCACATTTCCCCTCATATGATTAAATTCACATTCATGAAATATGCATAACATTTTGATGTTTGCAGCCCATTATTAAATAGCAATGTTGTAGAAATAGTACAAATTGAAGGAAGCATTTCACTGAAAAATATTATTTAGCACATTTCTTCCTAGCATTAGTAACACTAAGAAAACATAAAGACAAGAAACAACTTGCAACTCACTGGAAGATGCGCTGGTCCCCAGGTGCGCACCCCACCAGGCTGTCACACACGCCGGCCTCATTCTGCAATGGGTGCGGGACCAGCGGGACTCCTCCTCCCCACCTGTGTGTCTGATGGCTTCAGACACCAGCCATGCTTGTGAAAGGGTGTCAGCGCGCGTAGGAGCACAGCATCCAACCACCTGAGAGGATGCCCTGCGCTGCGCTGTGGATATTCCCACTTTAGTTCTAGCAGGCTGCCTCGACTTGGGATGAATATTTATGTGGGGGTGCTAATTAATAACCAGCCCATGAGCACAGCTGATGCCAATTATGCAAACATAATCCCATGCAGAGTTAAATTTGTTATTTGCTCCTTGTGCTACCCAGTGCAATGCCTATCATGGTCTGACATGCAGCTGCTTTTAAGCCATGTGATTCTTTTTAAATGTATTATTTCCATCATGATTGTAAAATCAACATGTAGGTTCCCTGGTCGGGAAATTTCTCCTTGCAATGTTCCAGGGGCCTTTGCTGCTCTGCAAATTCACAGACACCATCAGGAGCACAGCCGCACACCCCAGAAATCCACCTTTGAAGTCACCAGTGCCTGGTGGATAACAGCCAGTCATTCGTAGGCAGCGGTTTTAAATGCAAACGAGAAGCCCCTTTCCAGCTGGAGCTATTACATGACAAATGCATTTCCCATGGGCATGGTGTCAGAGCCAGCAATTAGGACACACGAGGAGACCTGCCCCGGGCCTCGGTCCTCAGGAGCAGAGGGGACTGAACTGCCAGGCCCCCATCACCCAGGCTGACAACAGAAGGCCCAGATGAGAGGAGTTGGGGTTCCCCTCCAGCGTGAACCCCGAGAGACAGGGTTCACATACACAGGCTGGCAGAAGGGGATGTCTGTCCGACGTGCAGTGGTGCTCACGTTCACCTTGCCTCTCCATTTTCCTATTGTTTTCCTTAAGGCTCTCAAAGAAATAAATGCAATTGCCCCTTTGTCCTGGTGATATATATCACTCACCAGCAACAGCCAGCTACATTAAGTTAACCGTTTTTTGCCAAATACTCTACAAGAATTACTCAAGCCGGTGTTCTGATACCGCACATCTATATCAACTACTATGATTTATGTTTTACAGATAGCTTGGGGGGGTGGCGGTAGCATGTATCAAACTGCAGAGTGATACTGCTGACTTGTTAATGTTCTTAACTCAAGGTGTTTAAACTCTGCTAACATGCTTACACGTCTAAGTCAGGCTGTCATACAATGCTGCAGCACCAAATCCGCATTGATTCCCACCACTGTAAATGATGGGGACACAGCCGACACAATACAGGAGCCAGCTGAGGTTTCTTTTTTTTTTTGACCAAGGAAAATTCTCCCTGTTTCAGTACAGACGAAAAACAAAATGCGAAGTGTAATCACCTCTCACGCTATTGTAACATCTTGTTACAATATACTTTACAACATATATTGCAATAATAAGCTGCACATTGCGAAGTACATGATGTATTTTTAGAAGAGCAAAATGCTCCTTACAGTCACTTGTGTCATTCCCACACCCATGCTGTGGCTCCCAGGAACACCCCAGACCATTTTACTGATCCTCCTGGCAGAGTGGGGCCAGAAACTGATGCATATCCCTTATCATTGAGGGAGGAGATGAAAGCTGAGAGCGTTTCATGCTGATGTTGCTGCTAGAGGCATTACAACAAGCGGCAGCTCCTCAAGAGGATAATTGCTCATTGCAGTTAAACTATGACACAAGAGCAAACCCCCACCAGAAAAGGTGGTCCTACACCCTGCCTTTCCCTCCCAAACCCTATGCCAGTGCTAGGTCATACAATAGGAGAAGTTGGCTCATCATGTCGGTCCATGAGAAAACTGTTCTTTTTCATGGTTAATTTTCTGCCAGGACAGCTCACTGGACTGGCTCGCTCTGTGTGTCCATGGCCCAGTGCAGGAGAGGTGGGGTGGGCATGACGCTGGGGGGGCGCACGGCTGGAGGCTTTGGTAGCCTCGTGTGCTCAGCTTAGCCCAGCTGTAAGGTGAAAACACGCTCTCTAGTCTCTGAATTTCCTGAATCTCCCAGGTTGCACGGGTTTTTAAAAGTCATCATTAGATGACATTAGAAAAAAACCTGTGGCTATTCCATTGCTTCTTCTGAAGCAATCAAGCAACCCTCACACACTGGCAGCCATCACCTGCGCCTGGAAGCTGTCTGGCATCGCCCTAGCACCACTGTCCCGCAGGACAGCAGTTCATCAGCTGTGCAGTGGTACCTACCAGGATCATCCAGGAAACTTCTCTCACATCTCCTTCCAGAATTAAGCCTCATAAAAAGGTGCTCACTGTCAGCAGTGCATGACCATTGTTCCAGTAACCTTGCCAAATCGTCAGGCATGAGAGGAGGCGATATGTCATCTATTTTCAGTTACACAAGGACACGTGCGATATCTATTACCAAAAACTTAATTCTGCAATGTGAT